TGCAGCCTCCCAGGAAACAACAGAGCCGACAACTTTTGCTGCAGCATTGTTCCCAAGTCTGTTGGCAAAATGCAATCCCAATTATTCACAGCAGGAGCAAACATGTTCAAAGTGGAAGAAGGAGACTATCTTCCAGGCGGATGATAGAAATTTAAGAATGGGAGAGTAGCCATCCCTGAAGCTTTGGCCTCAGCTTTTGTCAGGCAATTTCACCAGGACACCCATAAAGGCTGAATGGGCCTCAAGACAATGTAAGGCTGATATTTTTATGTTCCTCGACTCTCCATCATAGCCTGGACGGTTTGTGAGCAATGTAAAGTGTGTGCCCCAAACAACTCGTGGTAGGGGCCTAGAATCTCTCCGGGAAAACAAAGTGTTGGAGGGCTCCATTTGAAAATATAGTTGTGGACTTTACTGAGCTTCCCTGAGTCAGAGGCTACAAATATCTCTTAGTTTTTGTATGTACTTTCTCAGGTTGGGTAAAAGCCTTTACTAACCATGCCAAAAAGGCACATGAAATGGTGTGACTGCCTCTAAAGGAAACCATTCCCCGATTTGGAATCCTAATTACTATAGAGTCAGACAGTGGGCCAGCATTTGGAGCTGAGGTCATACAGTCAATGGGACAAGGCTTAGGAATCACATTAAAATTGTACACTGCCTATTGCCCCCAAAGTCCTAGAAAGGTGAAGTGCATGAACTGGTCTCTAAAGTTGCAGCTAAGTAAAGTATGTCAGGAAACCCACCTACACTGGAATCAACTGTTGCCAATTGCTTTGTTAAAAATTAGGTCTAGTCCCACTAAGCAGACAGGGTTCTCCCCTTTTGAAATTCTTTGTAGGCACCCACCCCTCATTATTAAGGGTATAAGGGGGGATTTAAAAGAGGTGGGTAATCTTGCTCTAAAATAGCAAATGCAGGCTCTTGGCACGGCACTCACTGTTATACATCATTGGGTTAAAGAGCGGTTATCTATAAGCTTAACCACAGAGGCTCACCCCTTTCAGCCAGAAAATGCTGTATGGGTAAAGAAATGGAACACCCAGACCTTAAGGCCTCTGGAGAGGTCCATTTACTGTCATTTTTTTCACCCCTTCTGCAATAAAGTAGCTAAAGTAGGCCCTGGATTCATTACAGCAGAGTAAAGCAGGCTGGGAGTGCATGCTTTATCTGTTTGTGCCGGAAAAACTGACTATTCGAAGAAAACAAGCTGTAGCTCCAGGAAGCTGAAAGACGACAGCCCTGCTTTAGTCACTCCGGAAGCTGACTAATCTATGCATGGCAGAAGCCTGTGAAATCAACCGTTTAGCAAGCAAATGGACTATTCTAATTTTCTTATTATAATTCAGTGTCATCCCTTGCTAATAATTGTTGTTATAATTTTCACCTTAATATTTGCTGTAGGTTTAGCAAAGGTCACTCCAGATGGCTGAATCTGTGGTCAGAAAAAACAAAAAAACAAACAAAAACCCAGCAGCACATGTAATGATGCTATGGCAATGCCAGCCCCTAAATCAAAATGATGGTCTTTGACCCTAAAGGGGTCCAAGCATCAAAGGGGAGAATGAGGCAGGGGTCCTTCTGAAAATGCAGGAATGAGAAAAGGGAAAATAAGTTACCTCCTGCTTCTTTGTGCTACGCTTTTCCTGGACTTTTCACTTTGGCGGGCTACATGTTCAAACTTTTGGGGAAATCCAGTCAGGATGGTGATCTTGTAAGCAAATCAGCAGATAGGACATGAAAATGAAATTATTATGTAAAACCGATCAGCGTGTAACAAGTAATGCTAACTGCCACCTCCAGCTACAAAATATCCAATGAAGTGGATAATGCCAAACTGCTGCCTTGTATGGGAGACAAAGAAACTAAAATGTCTTGCCAAACTGCTGCCTTGTGTGGGAGACAAATAAATTAAAATGCCTTGCTGCTTTCAGGGTTCAACTTTTTAATGTGCATCTGCTGAGCCAGTGCTGGCACGAATAAATGCTGTTTTCCTGGAAAAAATAAATGCTGTTTTCCTGGCAAAGTAGCCTTGGTGTCCCGTCTCTCTCTGCGGCCGGTTCCTGCTACAAGCCTTCCAAGTAGATGGAACTATAGGCGTGTGCCACCATGCCCAGCTAATTTTTTTGATTTATTGTAGAGATGAGGTCTTGCCATGTTGCTCAGACTGGTCTCAAACCCAGGGGCTCAGGCAGTCCTCTCATTGCGATTACAGGCATGAGCCACCACGTTTGTCTACGATAGTTTTATTTACTTTAGTCCTCATGTTGTACATTAGATCTATAAATGTGGTCATTCTACATATCTGCATACATATTTTGTATCCTTTGACCTACATTCTCCATTTTCTTTTTCCTCCCCACCCCCACCGCTGGTGACAACCACTGTTTTATTCTCTATGTGTTTGTGCGATTAAAAAAAAAAAAAAAAAAAAAAAAATATATATATATATATATAAAAAACACATATATATTTTTTTCTCATGTAAGTGAGATCATGCAATATTTCCCTTTCTGTTTCTGGCTTGTTTCACATAGTGTAATGTCCTCTAGGTACATCCATATTTTGGAAAATACAGGATCTCCTTTGTAAAGGATGTGTAATATTTCAGAGTGTGTGTGTGTGTGTGTGTGTGTGTGTGTGTGTGTATCACATTTTCTTTATCCATTTGTCTGTCAATGGGCATTTAGATTGTTTCCATATCTTGGCTATTGTGAATAATGCTGTAATGAACTTAGGAATGCAGATGTCTTTATGAGGTAGTGATTATTTCATCTCCTTTGGATATGTATGCAGAAGTAGGATTGCTGGGTGATATGGAATTCTTTTCAATAAGCACATGATTTTTTTTTTTTTTTTTGAGTTGGAGTCTCACTCTGTTGCCCAGACTGGCGTGCAGTGGCCGCTCCCGGCCACCGCAGCCTCTACCTGCTGGACTCCGGTGATCCTTCCGCCTCAGCCTTCCAAGTAGCCGGAATTACAGGCATGTGCTACCACGCCCGGCTGATTTTTTGATTTATTGTAGAGATGAGGTCTTGCTGCCCAGGCAGGTCTCGAACCCACGGGCTCAGGCAATCCACTCACCTCAGCCTCCCAAAGGCGCGGGATTACAGGCTGAGCCACCGAACCCGGCAAACTTTACTATTTCTAAGCCATTAGACAATTGTGTGGAAAGGCAAGTCAAAATATTCAGCTTCTATTTTTGACTGTAATTCATGGAAATGATGATGGTTAAATTCTTGAGAATGACTGAAACTCACTATTGCCAAGACTCATTCAATTACTCATGGTAGGTTCAACGATTTTCTGCATAGTGCCTACTAATGAATAATACAATGAGTAACTATAGTCTCTAGAAACTTTACATTTTCATAGACTTTGTACATTTATCAAACTAAACTTTTTCTTCTCTACACATATTTTCTTTTTTTTTTTTTTTTGAGTTGGAGTCTCACTCTGTCGCCCAGACTGGAGTGCAGTGGCCGCTCCCGGCCACCACAATCTCGCCTGCTGGGCTCCGGCGATCCTTCCACCTCAGCCTTCCAAGTAGCTGGAATTACAGGCATGCGCTACCACGCCCGGCTGATTTTTTGATTTATTGTAGAGATGAGGTCTCGCTGCCCAGGCGGGTCTCGAACCCGCGGGCTCAGGCAATCCACTCACCTCAGCCTCCCAAAGGCGCGGGATTACAGGCTGAGCCACCGAGCCCGGCTCACATATTTTCATTACCATCATTCATGACACATCTTAGCCGATTCCACTTCAGGATTTACTGACTTTGAATTTTCCTATTCTTCCTGTAGTTCCATGCAGGCTAGCTATAGGAGGTAATTCCTGTTGCATAAAACTCAGTATTGATACTCTGAGTAAACAACAACAACTGATTAGTATTGGTAACATCATTTGACTCATTAAGAATTGAGGAAAACCACTTGATCATTTGCCTTCTTTTTTGAATTGACTATTTAATGTTGCTTCCAGGGTCCTTAACTATTTGAGCAATTCTTCTTACCAAGAGACTAAACATTTTTTTAAAAGCTCATTTCTTTAGATATTTTAAAAATCAAATATGATTTAACTCACTGTTGATGACTGGATTTCCTTGCTTGGGTAACAAATTACTCAGAAATCCTGTGTTGAGATATTCTGCTTCAAATTTTCTAATTTTTCTGACTGGTTCTTTTCTGGGAGTTGGAAATACAGTGTTGAATACTTAGTCTGGTATAAGATCATCCTATATAGTGCTTTAAAACATAGGCTACTGTGTCATTGCATAATAAGCACAATGCTTTGCTAGCTAATTAGAGAAGAAAATAATGTATCCTTCACTGTTCCTTAAAAATGTGACATTCAAAGTCTGCTTTTTTTGTTTTGACACAATATGCACTGGTAATAAAACTAATATAAAGTGTCACAATATGACATTAGGCTTGGCACTTGAAATAGAGGGAAATTATAACTGCATCCTTGTCTGTGATTTGTAGTAATAAAACTAATATAAAGTGTCACAATATGACATTAGGCTTGGCACTTGAAATAGAGGGACATTATAACAGCATCCATGTCTGTGATTTGTAGTATGGCAGGCAGCAGAGCACAGCAGTAAGAGTGCCCACATTCAGTCTGTGACAACTACTTACCCCTGCTGTTGTAGTGTGAATGCAGCTGTAGACAGTACACAGTCAAACAAGAATGCTTATGTTATAATAAAATTTTATTTATGGATGCTGAAATTTTATTTTTACATAGTTTTTACACATATGTGCCACAAAATATTCTTTTGATTTCTTTCAGTCATTTAACAGTGTAAAAATGCAAAAAGCATTCTTAGCTCCCAGGCTGTACAAAGTGGGGCAGATTGGATTTGACTCATGAATCATAGTTTGCTGAAGACTGTCTTTCCTAACTACCTGAATATGAATGGTCATCCCACCCTCTGGTCTTTGCCCTGAGTTTCTCTTAAGCCATTCTCCACTCTTCTTTAAACCATTACCTCTAAGATGAAAACCTGGACACATAACTCTGGTGCTTACTTTGCTTTTCATCTGCTCCCCATTACCCACAGCTGTGATCTTGAAGTGGCGGTATATACCTTACGGCAACCATCCCCAAGTTTTTTGGCATCCAGAACTGGTTTCCTGGAAGCCAATTTTTCTACAGACTGGGGGAGAGGGGGAATGTGCAGTAGCCTCTCTGCTAATGTTCATTTGTATTTGTAGCTGCTTCCCAGCACTAGCATCACCACCTCAGCTCCACCTCAGATCATCAGGCATTAGATTCTCAAAAGGAACATGCAGCCTAGATCTCTCTCATGTGCAGTTCACAATCACAATAGAGTTTGTGTGCCTATGAGAATCTAAAGCCCTGCTGATCTGACAGGAGATGGAGCTCAGGTGTTAATGCAAGCAATGGGGAGCAGCTGCAAATGCTGATCTGACAGAAGGCAGAGCTCAGATGGTAATGAAAAGGATGGGGAACAGCTGTAGATGCAGATCTGCCAGGAGGTGGAGCACAGGCGGTAATGCCAGCGATGGGGAGCAGCTATAAATACAGATGAAGCTTTGCTTGCTCACCCACCTGGTACTGGTCCATGGCCCAGGGGTGGGGGACCCCTGCCTTAGGAGATAATTAAGAAAATCAGCATGTTGGAAGAAGATACACACCTATTTACATTTTTTATACCTAAAAAAAAAATTTTATACGTATATAACTCGTGGTAAAATATTTTGGATAATTAGCCCCAAATCACTTATACTCTTGTTCCTGATTTTGCTTATGGATCTGTATCTTAATATAGCTAAGCCCTTTCACCAACAAAGAATGACATATGATTGATGTTTAATGACTCAAAGCTTCACTTCCAATCTTTTATACAGAATAGAATTTAACACTTCCCCTCCATGCAATCATTACCTTTTGGATTCTTCTAGCATTTCTTCTACAAAGCTTTATTTTAAATATATATTATATAATATATATTTAACTATATCTTTCAACAATATGATAAACTCTTTGAGAGCAGAGTTTCTAAAATTCTTTTTTATATTCCCAGAACATGAGACAGTTCTAGGCACATTGAGGAATCTTGGATTTTTTTTTCATGAATAAGAAATTAATACATAGGGTATCTCTATGGTTTGTTCTCCCACAACATAGAATACCAAATAAAGTACAGAGTAGATGTCATGTGTGATATTTTCTCTTCAGTTATCAACAGTGAACATGACAAAGTTTAAATCTCAAACGTGGCAAGCTATCTGCTCTGGTGACTGCAGAATGAGCACAGGTGTACTTTTTTAGGGATCAGTGTCATTCACGGATGTGACTGTGAGATTCACCCAAGAAGAATGGCAACACCTGAACCCTGGTCAGAGGACCCTGTACGAGGATGTGATGCTAGAGAACTATAGCCACGTTGTCTCAGTGAGTAAGGGTTGTGTTTTATGTAATTCCAAATAGCATTCATTTCTTTTTTAGTTGCTGATACACATGATCCTTTGTAGAGATTAATGATTTTTAGGGTTGAAATTTAGCATTTAAAGGTGACCCCTGGCCTGCAACAGGTGTAAAATTATTGATCCCTTTTGATCTCTAGAGACAACTCCCCATGAAAAGTTTAAATGGCCCTATTTTTGTATAGCTGAAGCTGCACCATATTTTTCTTCAGATGCCCTGAAGCCCATAGGCCTGGCCTAAGTTCTGAGTCATTTCCCATTCACAGGGTGTTGTGTTACCAAGCCAGAGTTGGTCTTCAAGTTGGAGCAAGGTGAGGAGCCATGGATAGCAGAAGAAGAATCCTCCAGCCAAAGCCACCCAGGTGAGTTAGTGTGTACCCAACAGCTATAAGTCAAGTGATGTTAGATCCCAGTTCATTCAGTTGTTGGCCCTTTGAGGTTTTTTTAGGAATTTTTTTTAGAGGTACCACTTTCAAAGTGGCCTAGGATAATTAGCCTGTTTTCCTTAGATACATATGACACACTTGCAGATAATGCTCTCACAGCTGAATGTTCTTGGGTTTTTTCTTACATTTTTTAGGTGGATTTGCCATTCTTAGGTTTACAACAATTTGATTCTTGCTCATGTCACTTTAGATATTTTTCTTTTTCTTCCTGTTAGTTGTCTTCTTTTTTCTTGTGTGTCATTTAAATTGTGTACCAATTATTCATTCAAGTGTTAAGTAATTTAACAATTTATATGCTAGTTATATCTATGAACTGGTGATAGACCTGTAGACAATATAATCTATCCTATACTTTTTGTTGTTACTTTAGTGTGTTCTTCTACTTGTAAAATGAAGTTAACTGTAAAATAAGCTCAGGCAGGTGCTTCAGGAGAGATTTCAGAAGAAGGCATTGTCACAGCTTTGTGTGAGTGATTGCCCCAGAAGACTTTCCAGTGGGACAAGATGTGGAGTGAAAGATGGTGATATGGATGATCCTAACTCTGTGTAAGCCTATCATGAGCCACCATGCGCCCAGCTTTAGATGTGTTTAGATATGCAAACAACATGTATTACAACTGCCTACAGTATTCAGTACGGTAACATGCTGTATAGGTCTGTAGCCTAAGAGCAATAGGCTATATCACTTAACTTAGGTGTGTAGCAGGTTGTACACATCTAGCAGGTTGTGTAAGTACACTCTAAAATGTTCACACAATGACAAGATCACCTAATGACATATTTCTCATTGTTAAGTGATACATGACTATATTTAAATTGATTATTGATAATGAAGGACTTATGCCATTGTGCTATTTTTTTGTATATAAATCTTATATCTGTATTGTTCTTTTGAGTAGAAAATTATTTAACTATATAAGGAGACATCAGGGAAGATAATTCTCAAAAATTACAAAACTTGACTACTAAATTGTGAAAACCAAATAAGAACTCTTATTGGAAAGTGTGAAATAGAATAGATATACAAGAAATCCTCAATTAGCATCGTTGATAAATTCCTCATAACTGTAACTTGAAGCAAAATGGGGTACCTCAGCAGCCTTGTCATCATATACAGTGTTACAGTACACATACAGTACATATACACATACAAGCTACATCACATACAGTAGGCAAAATCTTAACTGCATTCCAATTTCTCTAAGGCCACAGCTATGACATCATATTGACGATATCTTCCTTTGAGAAGATATATTTGATACACTCACTAAAGACATGCAAATACTGAAAAAGGAGCTCAGGCCAGGCATGATGGCTCATGCGTGTAATTCCAGCATTTTGTGAAGCCAAGGTGGGAGGATTGCTTGAGCCAAGGAGTTCAAGATCAGCCTTTGCAACATAGCAAGATCTTATCTCCACACACACACACAAAAAGAAAAAGAAAAAAAGAGAAAGGAGCTTACAAACAAGGGACCCCACACATCGTACATGGTCCTGCCACCTCTGTTAAATTCCTGAAAATTATTTGGTAAACCAAGGGTCATTTCATCCCTGATACTGTCAAAACAGCTATTGACATTCTTAGTACCTACAATGTTAATACAGATAGATGTCTTTTAGTCCTTTTTCGAATCTGGAGGCAACATATTGCTCATTTAGAAGTTTCACTTAATTTCACTGATGCTATGTTACTTGCAAGCTGACCCACCTTGAATGGATTCCCTTTAAGAAAAGGCTCTGGAATTTGTCCAAATTGTAATATAACAGGAATCCCATTGATGTCCTCAAAAGACTCCTTTATTATAAAGGCTTTAGCAGCCTCCTCTCTTTCCTCATGATGGCCATAAATTGACCATGAACTTCTGATGCAAGACACTGTCCTCTTTGGCACTGTACCATACACCATTAGAGCACTGTTGATCACAAACTCGACTCTTATAAATAGCTCTTATGGGTGCTAAACTTGTGATTCTTCATGCCTTGGGTCGTGGAAGCAGTACCCCGCACGTTTGGTATGGTTAGCAAGACCTCCTTGATGCAGGATGGAGCAAAACCTTGGCTACCTTGGATTAACTAAACAGAAATGGGAGTTTCTAGACTTTTGGGATGACATCACTAATATTATATGTGATGGAGCTCAGTGGAATGTTGCTGCTTTCCGTCCTTTAATCAGGATAGCCCTGATCAAACACAGGACCCGAGGGGTTGCTGCCAGTGGCCACTTTCAGGTTGTTGTCCTAGTACTAGATGCCCTGGCCAACAAATGACTATGTTGATATGTTTTTACAAGATCTTGGGCCATTACCTAAGAGTTGCCCTCTTTGGAGTAAAGACCTGATAATCTCTTGTCTCAGAGATATCCAGAATATAAATCAAAGTTAACAGATGTCTCTACACAAGGCCACGATATAAGGCCTCTCCAGGACACATCTTACTGACCAGGCATTACTAATAGTGACCAAGGCACTTCGCAGAATACACAACAGGGAGCTTTTGAAAACTGCATTCAATGGAAGTTCCTCCTTCTATCTCAGCCTGAGGTAGCTTGTTTAACTTGGAGGTCTCCGATTTAAGTTACAGAGTGGCAGATGGACACCCTGCTAGGTATCACTATTGCCACAGGCATTGATTGAATTCATGCCTCCTGGGCACATCTCTCCCTACACCAGTGCCACACAGGTCTCCCAGTTGTCTTCATTGGTCATAAAAGGGGTACATCTAAAGCTATGTTTTTGATGACCATGTGGCCCTATTTTTCCTGGTCAAGTGCTTTCTTAGCTTCCTGGGGGAGGTTTTTCTATTCCCTAGAAGCCTCAGTCAACACCCTAGCTTAAATTTTTGTCAATTTTTCTTCCTTGAAGTGCTTATTTAACTCTTGTCTGCTATGTTTAGCCCTCTGTATTCTGTGCTTGGAATGAAGCCTGGCACATAGTTGTCCCACAGTACCTGTTGGATGGATGGTGATTCTCAGGGCTCTTCTCCTGTGCATCTTCAAAAGTTTCTCTCGGGCACTTCTATTCTTTTTTTCTTTTCTTTTTTTTTTTTTTTTGAGTCAGAGTCTCACTCTGTCTCCCAGGCTGGGGTGCAGTGGCATGCTCACAGCTCACTACAGCCTCAACCTTCTGGGCTCAGGTGATCCTTCCGCTCAGCCTCCCAAGTAGCTGGCACTACAGGCGAGCACTACCATACCAGCTCATGAAAAAAATTTTTTTTTTGTAGAGATGAGGTCTCACTATGTTGCCCACACTGGCCTCAAACTCGTGGACTTAAGTGATTTTCCTGCCTCGATCTCCCAAAGTGCTGGGATTATAGGCGTGAGCTACCATACTCAGCCTGTTCTTTTCTCTTAATAGTAATTCTCCCAGTACATTATTTACAACTCATACATTCACAAGACTTGAAGCTTGTGAAAAAATACTTGACCTAGTGTATTTTACCTACCTACCTACATTAAATCCTTGTTAAGTTTTAATCCTATTTCAATATAGGAAAAGCTAAGAAGTAAAATTATATCTTACAAATCTTACATTTCACTTCCCATTTATCAGTTACATTTTTTATTTATTAGGTCTACTTTAGCGGACAAAAATGAAATTCTTTCAAATCTTCCATTTCTATCACACTCTCTTTTTTTTAAAAAGATGGGATCTCACTATGTTGCCTAGGCTGGTCTCAAACTCTTGGGCTCAAGAAACCCTTCTGCCTTAACCTTCAGAGTAACTGGGATTACAGGCACATGCCATCACACCCTATCACACCCTTAATGTTATCTTGCAGTCCTTGTTTCACTTTTGTGAAGTGTTTTCTAAATATCCCCATGTTTTTACCTTCCACTAACATCGCCAACAAGGATATCTGTATACTTATTATGTTCATGCTTTGATTGATCTAACTTGTAATATGAATTATGGCTTTTTAAAATTTAAAGCTTCTGATTTACCTTGTTACTAGCCTGACAACATAAATCTATGATTGCACTCCTGTGACCCAACACATGAAATGTAAGTTCCTCTGTAATGTGCATCAAATATGGTCACATTTTGCATGCCCAAATTATTTTTATTTCTTGCACAAACCCTGCCAATTCTATTTTGTAAAGTCTCCTAATCCTCTCACAAACATGTAGTGTTCCTTGCCTTGTTTGCACTTTTCATTCTAGTGTGTATCTTTCCTGTCCAGATAGTTAAATTGATCAATATGTGAAAAATGTTTAAAATAGTGCCTGACATATTAAAAAGTCTTATTGCTATGGTTCTTGTTGTATATATTTTAGGTTAGAGCTCAAGTTTTTACAAAAATTTATTATTATTTTTGAGTCAGGGTTTCACTGTGTCACCTCATGTTGTAGTGCAGTGAGTGACATAATCACAGCTCACCACAGCCTTGACCTCCTGGGCTCAGGCAATCCTTCTGCCTTAGCCTCCCAAGTAGCTGTGGCTACAGGCAGGTGCCACCATGCCTGGCTACTTTTTGATTTTTTGTAGAGATGGGGTCTCATTGTGTTGCCAACTTGGTCTCAAACTCTAGGGTTCAAGTAATCCTTCTGCCTCAGCCTCCCAATATACTGGGATTACAAGCATAAGCCACCATACCTGCCCCAATTTTTATTTTTCATGAAATATTCATTGACTACATTATTTCTGTACACTAATAGTTGTATTTGAAAATATTTAGATTTTGTCATATACTCTGATACCTGACTATATTGAGTTTTTGCCTGGATTATCTTTTTCCAGCTAAATTTGTATACCCTTAAACAGAAAGACCTCTCTTATTCTTCTTTTCTCTACTAGGTAACATACAGTAGATATTTGATGATTCCTTTGAAGATTGTATAGTTGGGAGGAGAGAACTCTTTCATATTTATTCATCCAGAAAACCAAAGAACTTTTTATAAGTAGACATGCTGCGGTCAAAATCTTTAACTTCTTAATTATTAGATATAAATTGGCAAGGAGTCTGAGATTTGTGTTTTGAAATAGCTGTCAAGAAATTGTTATGCATACCACTTACAATTTTATATCCTCATTACTAACCATTCAGACATTTCAAAGGAAATTGGAGATATGGCAGTAACTGCCAGGATCTTAGGTTGTATTTATGACAAAAGAACAAAAGCAGCATTAAAATATTTTAAAATTTAGCATTTAGAAAGTAATATTTAGTTGGGCTCAGTGGCTCAGCCTGTAATCCCGTGCCTTTGGGAGGCTGAAGTGAGTGGATTGCCTGAGTCCGCGGGTTCAAGACCTGCCTGGGCAACA